TTAGTGTGTAACATGTGGCAAGGCCTTCAAAAAGCTGTGGTCGTTACATGAGCATAACAAGATCGTCCACGGCTACGCCGAGAAGAAGTTCTCCTGCGAGATCTGCGAGAAGAAGTTTTACACCATGGCTCACGTCCGGAAGCACATGGTTGGTGAGTGGCAGTAACATCAGTGGTCCCAGTCCGGTCGCTTTGTTCCCGTTTATTACATCAGGCTTCCTTTCCCACTGATTGTTGAGCGCGATTTGTTTTGGGTGTTGCTTTCCACTTCCTTTTTTTTTTTTTGGGAGATAAGCATCTTATTTCCCAGAGAGACTTGCCTGACTCCCTGTCATTATGTGTTTCAGTGGTAGGAGAAGGGTTCGTATGAAGCCCTATTTATCCTTCCTGCTGAATGAGTGACTTGAGAGTTCGATGTGGAAACTTCAGAGGAAATAGATTATTTACCAGATGAGACACATCCATTGTACTTAGCAGCGTAATTAGCCAATGAAAAAGCATCAGTGTTCTTTAAGTGCTATTTTAGGGTAGCAGTTTGCTTATTTGTCCCCCTGCTGCTATTAAGTGGCTCAATATTGAATACCAGTAACCATTATCTTGTACTGTGTGTGTGTGTGTGTGTGTGTGTGTGTGTGTGTGTGTGTGTGTGTCTTTAGCTCATACGAAGGACATGCCATTCACCTGTGAGACGTGCGGGAAGTCGTTCAAGCGCAGCATGTCCCTGAAGGTTCACTCTCTGCAGCACTCGGGAGAGAAACCCTTCAAGTGTGAGGTTTGAGCTCCTTTTACATTATACGCATAATACGCTGTTCTCCACTTAACTCGCATGAAGAGTTTCACTCCATCTGAGATACCCAACAGTTTAAAACCTGTAATGTCTGAAATGATTGGTGTCTGGAATGTAATTTAATTTAAATTAGTCTCTTTATGGCCGTTGCTTGTAAAATACTCATGTTAAAGTTAAGGATTTTTGATCGGGCAGGGATCCAGATGTGTTGATCAAAGAGGAATCATTATCATTAACAAATCATTTACCTGTCTTTATACACTGGGAACCCCGTAAAGTAGTCAAATTGTTTTTGTTTATCGCTTTCTGGCATCATCCTCACTCAACGCCACAATATACTCATCCACATTCTTACGCAGTGTTAGATGAGAGGATTGATGCCACTCTCATGTCTGCACAGTAAATATGAAGCTACAACCAGGAAAAGTTTAGCTTAGCTTAGCACAAAGACTGGAAACGGGGGGAAACAGCTAGCCTGGCTCAGTCCAAAAGTTAAGTTACCTGCTGCTGGCTGACCGTAGCATCATATTTACGGTACCATGTCAAACTATTCCTCTAAAGCAAAGACTTATGAAATCCATCGAGAACTCTTCTTGTGACCGTTTCTGATTGTTAAGACTTTGTGTAAAAATGTTCACTGTGTGCCGTTTCAGAACTGCAGTGAGCGCTTCCAGTACAAATACCAGCTGCGATCCCACATGAGCATCCACATCGGACACAAGCAGTTCATGTGCCAGTGGTGCGGAAAGGACTTCAACATGAAACAGTACTTCGACGAACACATGAAGACACACACTGGTGAGTCACTTCTTGCACTACTTCAGACAAATTTTAAGGTCACATTACAAACAATATGGAGACCCACTGTCCCACCCAGCTCCACAGCACAACTAGTGGTTAAAAACTCCACGGGGTACCTTCAATTTGATATGTTTGATGTCCTTTGTCTTGGTCTCCTTTGACTCCAGAAGGAAATATTTTAGCTTTAGCTGCTAAATGCTCCTCTACGTTCACCAGCTAGTTGCTAACTTTGTCTGTCGGCCATTGGATGCTGGGCAGGTAGTGTACAGCTGCCTGCTGTGGCTAAATACGATGCTATGAGAGAAGACTGAATCAAAATAGTTAAGTTGTGTGTTTGCCTCCACAAGCGGCCTGTTTTACATAACACAGTCATTTTGATACATTCGTGTAAAAATCTTGATTATATCAGCTTTTTTTTTTTTTTTTTGATGAATGTTGATTGTATTGTTCAGCTCTTCGTGTCCCTCTTTGCGCAGGAGAGAAACCGTACATCTGTGAGATCTGCGGGAAGAGCTTCACGAGCCGGCCCAACATGAAGCGCCACCGCCGCACCCACACCGGGGAGAAGCCCTACCCCTGCGAGGTGTGCGGCCAGCGCTTCCGCTTCTCCAACATGCTCAAGGCCCACAGGGAGAAATGCTTCCGCGTCAGCAACCCCATGGTTAACGACGGCAACGACCCCCTCGGCCTCCATCAGCCTCTGGCCTCGCCCGCCGCGGACTCTTCCGGCCAGGTGCAGCTGGGGGCGGCGCTCCCCGCCACATCTGCGACCACACCCGCTGCTGCCTCTAGTCCACACCACCTCCATGGCACCCAGCTGTCTCTTCCCCTGCTGCACTCCATGGGGGGGCTGCCTCCCACCCCTCATTTACCCCCGCCGCCTCCCCTGTTCTCTGCCGGTAGGATGAACTCCAACAACTAACAAACATCCGTAGCATCAAAAGCACTTTTGTTACTATTGTTTTTCTTAGAGCTTTTAAGGGGACTCCTGCAGCCGGAGAGTGATGCGCCTCAGTGACATTTACACTGAGAGGAAAAACTGACTGAAGGCTAACACACATACACCTACCACAATAAGAAATAGTTATTTTTTACTCCGTTTAATACAATAGATAACCTCAGAGTCCAGTAGGACGTGTCGTCACCATGCCTCTCCTCATGAATTTCACAACTCTGTTCTGGTTTCTTTTGGGATTTTCCACCCCCGCACACATCTCTCCAGAGTCTTGCACAATGCATTGATTGTAGCATCTTTTACAAAGTCTAAGGAAGAGTTTCCTAAATCCTCACTCTACGGGGGTCACAAGTCAAGCGAGAACCACACTATAATGAGAATTATAAAAAAATAAATGTTTCGATCGTTCTCTGCCAAGATGTAGCGAGTGGTTCTGATCTGACCCAGCAATAACCAAATGCTGATTTGTCTGAGCATATACATGTATATGGCATTGCCATTAACCAAATCCTGTTAGCTAGTTAGATAATGTTATACAGCATTTATAATCGATCCTGCACCTTACATTTAACTCTAGTGATATTTAAAATGTACTCCTAATTGTCTCCATTTTTATAATTGTGATGGTGTGTTATTCGTGGCACGTTCAGTCAATGTGTAAGGACGCGAGAGAAGTTGTGATGCGTGGAGAGTCGGCCATGCAATGCAGTGTGTGTGTGTGTGTGTGTGTGTGTGTGTGTGTGTGTTTGTGTGTGCGTGTATGTGCGTGAGTCGTGAGATGAGGATCTACGTTCAGCTAAACAATGCTTCCCCCTTTTCAGGAGATAGAGTAATTTGTTGACTCTCATCTTTTGCTTACATTAAGCGCTCCTCTCCTGTAGTTTCGGCTCTGAGACGATATCGCACTTTTCTGTGACTTGTTGGTAAAAAGCTAATGTAATCAGACCTACAGTATATTTGTGGGTCTAAAATATAATGTTAATGTTAACTTACATTTCCCAACTAAACCTGGTCTTTGTCATTAGTTTGCAGAATACCAGTAGCGTAGGGATAATAATATTCACAAAAAACGGATTACGTAGCTCCGTAAGTGTGCACATTTCATCAAGATGTATATGATGAACATTTATGCTTAAAACTCTCAGAGCTCTGACGGTGAGTAATTTTGGCACAATAGAGTGCATCACGAAAAAGGGCTTCTTATGATTACAACACTATTATAAATGAGTAAATTTCTTATGAAGGTGATCTGCAGAATCAAATCAAAGTTATGGATATGCAGTAATACCCCTTAAATATTTGTGACTCTATGTGCGCTTTTGACAATTGTTTGTCATAAACCTACTGGAGTAGAACTGAAAGATTCAAACCCTTGTCAGTAAAAACTTGTTCTCTAAAAGTAGTAAATAGTTTGACATTTTGTAAAATACACGCATTTGCTTACTTGCTGAGAGTTGGATGGGTAGATCGATACCCCTATCATGTCTGTCCGTTAAATATGAAGCTACAGCTAGCAGCTTAATTTAGCTTAGCTTGTTAGCCAGCACAAAGGCTGGAAACAGAGGAAAGTAGCTTGATTCTGTCTGAATGTTAAAAACAAGAAAGAAAAAGAAATTCACCTACCAGCACCTAAAACTCAATAATTGACATGTTAAATGTTGTTTTATTCTTTGAAAAAAAAAACAAAGTGTAAAAACACATTGTTTTATTAGCTAGCCAGACTTGGCTTCCTGTGAGATCACAAATTGATGTTTTTACGCTTTTCTGTACAGTTTAAACAAAAGACATTTAACATGTTAATTAGTGAGCTTAAAAGGTGATGGTAGATGGATTTTGTTACCTTTGGACAAAGCTTGGTTAGTGTTTTCTCTCTGTTTATTTATCTCTTAATGCTAAGCTAACTGGCTGCCAGCTGTAGCTTCATATTCAGCTAACTCTCTGCAAGAAAACTAAAGCAACTTCACAAAATGTCAAAATATTAAGTTTTAAATCTGACATTTCAATCAATTAATTCTCCAAAAAGAGTCTCTTGTGCACTATTGATGCACTCCCGCTCACTTTATCTATAGAGAGCCTGCTTGTAGTGTAGCATTAACATGTAAATATTGTTAAGATGTGTTTCTTCCTTGTGATTAATTCCTCATGTTTACATTTGGAGAGTCATTTGAATGTGCCCCCATGTTGCGTCTTGGCTGGTACTTCCGAATGTTGGAATTTATGGATAAGCTTTTGTAAATGTAATAAGCTGTTCATTGTTTTATTTAAAAGACAAAATTTAAGCACCTTAGTGTAGTCTTATGTCTCTTATCTCCCCCCCAGTTACATGTATCATTTAAACTGCCATGGTTAAATGGTTAGGGCCACATCGGATGCTATTTGATAATGGTACTTTTTCTTTTGTTTCTTCATGTGTCAAACACGCGTTTTGTACTTTGATTTGCTGCTTTTGTACAGGGTCCAGTTTGAGACTGCCCTTTAAATGAAAAGTCTAGAGCTGTTAAATTGTTGAATATATATTCTGGCTTTGATGAATCTAATCTAGCCTTACTGGGGAGGGAGCTCCAGGGTCAGAAATGAGCTACCATTTACAAAATTTGGGCAGTTTGATGAGGTAACGGCCAAAATGTTATACCCATCTAAGAATTGATCTAGTCATTGGTAGATGGGGGCTTCTGATTGGTGGCAGAGAGGACTAAGGCAGTGTCTCACAAACATAAGGACTGTTGCTCTCTTGTGGTAGCTTAGTAAACTCCACTCTGTTAGCTACACAAAAGAAAGAGAAAAGCCCCCCCTTAAGGGTACATTATCGTGCACAGTGTATCTCTATTTATCCCTGGATCATTAGAAAGGCTCAAATGTAACGTTACTTATCAAGTATTCATCACCGTTTTCAGAAGCACTAGCCCAAGAGACAATACTGAGATACTGTGGTTATAGTTTTGTGTATTCGCCTTATACTCTGAGGGATTTGAATGTTTCTATGTTATGGATGATGATTGTGGCTGATGGTAAAAGAGGAGGGATAGTAGTGAATACTACTGATTTATGCACTTTGAATTTGATTGCCACACTAGCCCAAAACGGGGAACATGTTTGCAGATACAAGGTGAGCAATAGATAGCAGAGTTGTGTCATGAAAAAAACATTTCCACACAGCCGGCTGAATCCGAACGCATACATTTTACGCTTAAACGTACCGTGTGGATATTGACGCTCTTAAATGATTAACGAACTACAGTCAATTGTTGTATTATTTGTTCAAATTCAGAGCAGAGTTTGTGGTTAGTAAGTTGGAAAAGTGGCAGAGGAGTCAGTTATGGTTCACCCTGCTCCCTATACTGGTGTTTGTGTTTCAGTCTTCCTGTATGACACTAAAGACGCTCTTTTAACAATAATTTGTGACTACTCCCTGATGATGCATACAGTACAGCTATGGCTGTTTCTGATTGGCTTGTTCCCCAATCACTACCAAAATTAAGAGAAATTAGTTTTAGCTAGTTTGCTCCTATTGAAGGGGCTTTTATATGTGACTGTTATATTTCATGCAAGGAGAAAATGTAAAGGAAGTTGTCGGTTGCCAATTTAGTAATGAGAAAGATCTATTATTGCGAGCACTTTATATTACAGTTCAGCTAGTGTGGTTTGAAGGCTGATACAGTAGCAGTTATATTAATCAAAATCTGCTGATGGCAGGTGCGCTTTTTTTTTATGTTTCCATGGCATAAGATTATAGGAAATTTCAAAAATGCAATTCCTGCCAGAAATGTTGCCTTGACCGGTGTTAAGTGAATTAACGTTTTATTTAGACCAAAGGGATGTGGAAAATCAAGCAAAAAGAAATCCTACTATATCGAAATATTATATTAGAATCTACACAAGTTATGTTCTACGAAACCAGTATTAATCAATTGCAGGTATAATAAATCAAACAAACTTTATAATATTAACAACAACAGATTATTTGTTTTACCCCACTTTTCACACTAAATTACATGTATAGTTCATGACAAGGCTTTCGGAGGAAGTGTGGCATTCTAAATCCACCTTACAAGCAGGATTCAAATGTTAATCCTTAGCTTTTGTTTGATAATTTAGTGAACAAGTCCTCGCTTAATCCAGCTGCAAACAAGACAAAACCCATCTGAGATGTCATCAAAGCAACACTGTGCATTAAGAATGTATCAGAGACAGACATTTATAAGCCCTGATGTCTCCCAAATCTTAAAAAGAATATAACATTGAATCTCTTTAAGTGTATGTTTTTCTGATTTAATATTCTACAGTTAAATGACTGAAGAGCTGATATTCTGGAAACTGAGAAGGGACATTTTGCACAGTCTTTAGGAGTCCTATATTCTAGGCAACTAGGCTTAATGTGTTTTTATAGTCAACTTATCCTGAACTAAGGCTAGCAGCCAAAGGCTTGTATTAGATTAGGACAAGATGGACCTGCCCTTGTTGTTAAATGAGGGTTTGTCAGTGATGAAGTAGCAGCCTAGACACCACAGTGACTGAGCATTCTGCATCGCACTCAAGGTAAATGTCACATAATGAAGCATTCAGCATGGCAGTTTATGCAAAACAGAGTGCTCATGGGTTTGCCAAGTAGGGTCTCTACTGGGACTTGTAGTTTTGGGGTTTAGCTGCTAAAGCCGGAGTGTGTATCCAAAAGGATTTAATCCTGTTGCCTTCAGCTTCAAGAAAAGTTTTGGGAATATTGCCGTTTTATTTTAGTAGCAGTTTTTAAGAATTCATGAAGCTATTGTCGAGAAAGTATTGTGTGTATGTACGAATTTAAAGAAATGTGTTACTCTTTTGAAAATGAAAGAATTGGCTGTTTTGTAAGGACGGAGGAGCATTTTTGTTTTTTTGTTCATTTTTTAAACCATATTTTGGGTGCAAATTTATGGAGCCCCAAAACCGACAAAAGGTTACCAAACAAATCATGAATATAACTGAATTCCTTAAAGAAATAATATTGTTTGTTAAATGATTAGAATGGAGTAACAGAAAATGTATCAACAACTACTTTGATAATCGATTAATCTTGAGAAATTATAAAATTGTCATGTTTCAGCTTCTTAAATGTGAATATTTTATTATGTCTGCTATGATAGTAAACTCAATAGTTTTGGGTTGGTTGGGCAAAACAAGACATTTTAATCAAGTAATTGATTCATTGAGAATTAATACTATTTAAAAGCAAGGAGCTACTTTTTGTATTTTCGCTTTGTTTTGTTTCTTAAAAACACACACGCACACATACAGGATTATAGAATATAAAGTCTGACAATTATTTTGTGGTCTGTGATGAAGACAAAAGATATACCCTTGACGAAAATTAGCTTTATTAGCTAGCTAATGCCAATTAGCCTTAGCTTAGCCTTTTTT